GTGCCCCCCCCCCCCCCCTTTTTTGCGTGCTTTCCTTCCTTTTTGTTTCCATGTCTGCATTTGAATGAAGGAAATAGGTCAGTAGAACATTCTGTTATACAGATGTTGTTTATAGTGTGTGAGCACCCAAAACATGTCTACAGCATCCCATAGAGCCTTATTGATAAGACTGTTGCTCAAAGGAAACACTTAATGCGTGCATACAAATGATTTATGCAATTGTGATAGGTTTCTCTATAAAAGTGAAATTTTCACTGAAAACCTGAAAACATAAAGTGCGTACAAACGCATGCTATGACTTCTTTTCCATCTGGATGAATGCTTATGTGGTACAACGAAAGCTTCCAGGCAAAGCAATAAAAGTCATTCGGATGGCAACGTTTGGCTGTGCAGCCCTGAATTGAGCCCCATACAGTCAGGCAAAGATGGAAGGCTCCCTGCTGAGTTTGCTGTGTCAAGAGGCAGTGTAGCATCTAGCCGGCCCCTCCTGCACCCCCCTCTATCCTCCTCCCGCTGGCTCTGGGAGGTAGCCAGCAGTGCTATTGGAGGCTGGGGCGATAAGGCGTCCTGCTTTTTTCTCTCTGCTTCGTCCCCTAGAGGGCAATCACTTACCCTTTTGAAACCCTCCCCCACCCAGCCACCGTATTTTCCCCAGCTGGGGCTTAAGAAGTGTCTCTACTGATACAGAGAGAGGCAGCTAGAAATGCAGAGAGAAAGAAAGAGAAAAGGAGGCACACAGGGGGAAAGAAGACAAGCCTTGGGAGACAGAGGCAGTTTGAGAAAGAGAAATGCTAAGAGATAGAGGGGCCTTTCCGTCCTTAGAGGAGAGAGAGAGACAACCCCTTGTCTGTGTCTCTCATAGACAGAGATAGGGATGAAATGCTTTATCATGACCACCCTGTGCTTATTAAGCCTTATCAGATATACATGTTGGAGCAGAAGTCTCAAGAGGTTAGTGCACGCACCTGAATGTGTTACTGCCAGCGTGTTATTTTCTGATGGACCCAAAATGAGTGACATTGGATCTTTAGTGCAGACAGGGGTAGAAGAGGTTATTTCAAATGAGCTGATGTTGTGGTATCATATATATGTAGAATTTACAAAAGCACAGAGAATTATCCCTGTATGCATCACATGAAAGTCCTTTTCTATTTTGGATTGCACACATTTCCTCCTTGAATGCACACACTGTTTATTCTCATTGTATTGCTGTATTGTTATTTTTATTCTCATCGTTATTTTCTATTCCTGCTGCATGTTTAAACATACTCTGCCATTAAAGCTGGTTCTGATTCTGATGAATGTGAGTTCAGTGAGTGTGTATTCTGTTCTAATTCAACAACAATGTAGTGCTACCTGCAATATTGTGCTTGAAACTTCTTCTTTTTTTGGTGATTTGCCCCTTGCCTATTCACATCACATTCTAGTTCCCTCTAACCAGCCTTATCTTTTTGTATGATGGTTTCATGCTGGTTCATGAATCACAAGACTGCTTAATGATGAGCATGCGGGCTGGCTGTTCTGCTCATTAGCATGGCTCATTATTGGCTGTGAATGAGGTGCTGGTGTCAGCCCATACAGCCTATGAGTCATCTTAGGGAGGGTCTCATCGCCATCACACAGATGCACCAGTAATACACCCTCCCCCTCCTCCTACCCCACCCTGGCTGCCTCATTCAGTGACTGGTGATCAAAGCGAGAGAAGAGAGACAGAGTTGTGGGATCCTGTTTTCATTTTGACTCTACAGATTACATATGATTAAACAGTGACTATGCAGAGGGCTGTGTTATTACTGTGATTTCGTATACCATGTGCTTACCAATACCCTGAAGGTAGCTATTTTAATGCTTATTTGTTGCGTTTCATGTCACAGGAGAGGGCATTTTATTCCGGAGCGATGGAGTGTTGAATTAAGCGGTGGTTTTCATGTAGGAGCATTGAAAAATGGATTCAGGAGAAACAATTCCCTTTGCATTGCTTATCTAAAAGCCCCCAAAAGCAGCTGCTACTCCCACAAAGGGCCAGTGAAGCGTTAGATCAATACTAACCCGGATAGAGGCTATGCAGTGTTCAAAATGCATGGATCCATCTCCTCGGCATAGCCTTGAGACAGGTGTGGACTTCTGGATGTCACCATCTGATGGCTTCACAATGGGTAAAGGAGATTGTGTGAGGCGGGGGCTAAAAGGGGGTGGTGAGAAAAGAGAGGGTTGTTTTGGTAGTACATAAAAACGCAAATGAACTTTTCACTTGACAGACATATTCTTTAGTATCCGGTGTATTCAGGTTACTGTGTTTATTGCCATGCAGTGAATTGGTGTTTTTCTAGCCCATAGAGTGGAGTCACTTAATGGTAATCTGGTGCTATACACTGAATTTATGAAACAAGCTCCAGCAGTTTTTAAGTAGTATAAGGTAAATCTGCTCTTGTCTGTTTCCATAGAGACCTAAGTGTTTCTATCGAGACTGTGGCTGGAGGTGAAACCTAATATCAGTTTATACATCTGGAGATTTATAGTTTGTGCGCTCGTTTCCAGTTACCTCAAACCCTTTTTGTTGTCTTAACTCGTGAAATGATACTAAAACGAGCTATCTCAGCTGGCACAGCATTCGTTTCGCTGGCCGTCTGTCGCTACGGTCTCATTCCTCAGAGATCATGCTGTCTTCCTGTAACTCTCAAGATAAGAAGAGCTTTGACAATGAGGAGGATCTCACTGCAGTTTGGAAGTTGTTGTTTCACAACTGAAGTGTTTAGTTCCTCTAAGGCCATTTTATGTCCTGTTGTTGCTTTACATTCTCGACTCAGTGCAAATGTATCTCCAGGGTGTCAAGTTCTTTGTTGACTTCCTTGATGTGGCCTTTGTCTCTCAAGGTCTGATGCTTAGCAGATACTTGAGACTGGTGTATCTTGTCCTGAATGTAAACAGCTGATGCTTAAGTATAGTTCTGGAATGTTTGTTCACAGGGACCAAAGCCACTGGTACCCTGTGTATACTTCTACTTGCAATAACCCTCTTCTTATTTAAATGGGGCAAACATTCTTCCAAATTTATTCCATACATGCACTGAATTTTGCGGCACCAAATGGAAAAATTGCTCACAAATGTTATAACATTGTGTATGAACTGCTGACAGAGAAGAAATAAAAACACATTTCTAAATAAGTAACACTGCTATATATATATATTTAATCATACACAGTGCTGAAAAGTAAATAAAGTATTGTACTGAAGTGCAGAGTGGAGGTACTTGTACTTTACCTCTATTTTGCTTTATATGTCCTTTCAGCTCCATTGTAGAGTCAAATATTAAACTTTTATTTTTATTTTGTTTCAGTTACTTTGCAGTCACAGATGACTAAATAATACATTAAGCACTTGCATTAGCCACTTTGACCTGCTATATAACTTAAGTGCAACTTACATGTTCATGAACCTGTAATAATAGTTCAATAATCTAATGTATAATAATAAAAGAACATTCTGCACAACCAGCACTTTTACTTTGATGCTTCAGTTTAATTTGGCGGATATTCATGTTGTTAAGTAAAGAGTCTGTCTCCGCCACTGATGGTGTAACCAAACTCAACAACCTCTTCAGTAAATACTCCCTTTGCCACTCCAGCATGCATTAAACCCTGAGGGTGACTATAAACTTTCAGTGTAGCCAGTGTGAGACATGAAGATCGGTGTGGGTGTAGGACACAAGCAAATTCGTAACTGGATACTTTAAGGCAATTATTGCACTGAGGAATGTGAGAGAATGAGATTTTTTATTAGCTGGATACATTTAAACAGTCTCTGTACAAGCGACGACTGTTTGAACTGTGTAGGAAGTGTAAAGAATTTTTGTGTCTCAGTTCCTCTCCTCCTTCTCTCTCTCTCTCTCACTGCGCAGTACAGACACTGGCCCACTAGGAATCCACTATAGCCTGAAGGAGATGACATCATCTCGGAGCAACTCTGGCTTACACACTACAGTGTGTTCTACAATAATCATATTGCCCTGTCAGTCCGCATAAGCTCCGGCCATATCCTTTAATTATACACCAGCAACACTGAGGCAATGTTTACTGTAAGAGCCCGGTGTATCTAGTTTGTATAGCCCATTTGGTCTTGTGTTAATAAACTTGTGTGGAGGGAGACCCCTCCAGGCGTTCGCAGCTACTGTAATGAGAGTGTGTTTAGTCTGGAAACTGTGTAGGAATAATGCTGATGGATTGTATGGCTGCAGGTCAGCTCTTGCTCTCTCACACACTGGTCGAGAAGAAGGAGCAAGGGAAAGATTCATTTGTCTTAATGCACGGCAATCCGACATAAAGTTATTATTACCATGTAAATTCAGGCTAGATGAAAACTACACATCACTGCAGCAGAAAAACAAAATGCCCTAGTTTACTGTCTGTGTTTTGTTGGTAGAGTAGATCATCAGTGTAATT